TCCAGGACTCAGAAAAAACAGACTTGGTGAAAATGACAGCATAAATATTCTAAGAGTGGCAACACTGAAGAGCAAAGCTAATATTGGATTTGAACCATCAGATGGAGACTGCAAGGCTAAATAAGTCAAATAATAGCAGCAACAACAAAGTAATACGGCTTTGCAAAGATGGTGCTCCTGAGAATAAAACACGTCTGCCTGCCAGATCATTGGCAGTGCAGGAGGACATCCATATATCCAGCTAGTTTTGTCTCCTTGGCCATTCATTGACTGTATGTCAAGTACAAAGTATAGTCGAGTCCTTACAATGAGTTATGTCCTCTATAAATACCACATATCACTGCTCAGCAGCAAAACCAAACATATTTTTGAGGTATATATGATAAGCAGGAGGTAGTTGTACACATCCTTATGATTAAAAACGGTGTCTGTGACTGACCCAGCTTCCAAGAGAGTCAGGATGTGTTTTCATGAGCTGGGCATGGGAGCTTGTTAAAGACTGAATGGTCCCATTGCTTTTTGCTGTGGCTGTCACTGTGGAGTTTTGCTGGGAGCAAAGCTGTGCCACCAGCAAGGTGAGATCCAAATGGGGCACTGGTGGTTGGGTCCTCATCCGCTTTGCCCATTGATTTGATTGAGGTAGGAAATTATGTAATGTGAGATTAAAGGATTTCTGGGATTGGACCATTTTGCAGATGAATCAGCAGTTTCTAACCCATCCCTGCTGGGAAGGGATCTGTTTCCTTCACAGGGAGGCTGCAGACTTCTTTGTTACCTGATTAAATTAACAAAATTCTGGCAATACCTTCTCACTTTTGAATTAAAGGATTTTTCAACAAAGCAAAGGGGTACAGGTTTTTTTCTCACTCCTTCGTGTAGCTTCCTGCGTCTTTTGCAGGGACTTAAGAATTAAAACAAGCTTTCCTTTCTGTCCTGACCATACATCTCCAAGTACAACCCTTTTGCCTTCAGGCTCAGCTTTGATGGCCCTGCTGAAAGTTGTGCCAAGCTCTGTACAGTGGAGAGCTGGCTCATAGAGCCCACTGCCCCTGGCCATTCCAGGGCACCCAAACTGACCCTACTGAGGGGCTCTGGTTCCCAGCACCTGTCTTCCTGTGCTGGTGGCAGAGATAGGAGAACCAGCAAAAATAAAACAGTTTGAAGAATTTCCAGCCATGGCTCTCTGAGGCCCTGGTGCAAATGCCATAGCCCAGGATAAGTGGAAGGATTTTTGCTTCCTGGAATCCCCTCCTGGGCCCATGGACAGAACCAGCTGGCAGGGAAGTGCAATTTCACCACTTCTCATCTGTTAGCTGTGCCACAGGATTAGACATGGCTTGGTGGGGAGGTGTGAGACCAGTACAGCCCTCATCTGGAGATATTTGCTGAAAGGGATTTGTCTTGATGTTGAAGCCATCATTCCTCTCTGTCTAAAATAAATAACCAAGTGAGCATGGGACTTAAAGTAAGCAAAGACCAAGACCAAGATGTTACCAAATGCAAATGACTAAAGACTAAAGGAAAACACTTCTAGAAATCTCTAAGGTGGTGCAGGACACATAAATACCATTTTCGGAAGGGAGAGGGGAAGTCCAGGGAATGGTCACTGTTTAAACAATGGCAGAAGGAAGAAGTGGATGTTATTATTTCATGTCTGAACACTTTCAAGGACCATGTGCCACTATGGTGAGGGAGCTTAGGTGGTGCTGTGCAGTTCTCATGCTGCAGTGCTCTGGCATCTCAGCAGTGAGCTGCTTTTTGGTTCCTTGCACTGCTAGCTAGCTGAAAAAGCTGGGAGTGATGAGCAAGCAGTGCATGTCTCCCTTCAAGAAGAACCATTCATTCAGATTTTGTTATTCCTTTAAATTTCCCTTTCTCCTAATAGGATCAGTAAGGATAAGAACAGCTGGATAAATGAGGATCTGGTAGTCAGTCATTTGTCCCAGGACTAGGTGCCAGGTTTATTCCGAGTTCAGTGGTTACTTGCTATTAGAATCCTCTGCACTGAGGAGTGCAATATGCATTATGCATTAGCATATTGCTAATGTTGTCCCCATCACACAACAGCCTTTACCATCAGACTGAAGTTTCCTGGGGGACCTCCTGGTGTACCATAGGCAAGCCAAATTGCAGACTGTGCAATCCTTTGAACTCACAGGATGTGCCCTTTTAAGCTCTTGGAGCTTCTGTTTTCTGTGCAAGCCAGTCACTCAGGGTTATGACTGGGGGCTGTGGATGGGTGGAAAAATCTGTGTGGCCACAGCTGAATTCCCAGCATGGCAGCAGAAAGGAGAGTGCCATGGGACTGCAGCTCTCACCAGGGAGGAGGCAGCATCCTGTGGCTCACAGGTTGCCACAGGCAAACAATGGGAGAAAGGAGAGAGAGCCTGCAGCCATGATGCAGCACACCCCTGCCCTGCACTGAGGCAGCAGAGGGCTGAAAAAAGTGCAGATAAAGTGTTGTGTTTGTCTTGAGAAGGAAAGTCTGGGTCAAAATTCCTAGTGCTGAATCCTTGAGCATGCTGGTTCTCAGCATACTTTGCTGGGATGGAGGGAATGGCAAGCTTTGCTCTTCTTTGGCTGTTTGCCTCCAATTTGAGACTAAACATTGTGGCCACTGGCAAAGCTCATAGCTGCTCTAAACTGCACAAGCTTGCAGCCAGCTCTGGGGCTGCTCAGCTGCCAGGATGTGCCAGGGCACAGAGCTGTCTGCCTGCTTCCCTCTCTTCCCCAAAACCCCATTGCTGAGCGGTGGGATGGGCAGGTCGTCCCCACGCAGCGCCTGGTCCAGCCCAGTACGGTCTCGGCCACTGCTGCAGGACAAGCTCCTCAGCCTGAAATGATCATTTCCAAGAGGAAAGGAGTATTTTAGGTATGACATTTAGCTTCTAGCCCTTCACTAAAGATGAAGTAGTAGCTGTAATAGATGAGGTTATTTTATAACCTAGATATTAAAACAAAGTGCTTCAGATGTGGAAGGAAGAAAATGCTGCAGTGAGGCAGGGTGGGTAAATAGCAACACACACTGTTTGATAAAAGTTGCATGTCAGTTTAGTTTCTTCTGCATTGTGTCACTCCATAGATCCTCTCTGAAGGAGTTGTATTGTGAATCTAATAAAGGCAGGAAATTCCTTCTATTCCTCCTGGTTTCCCTCAGCTGCGCTTCTTTATGTGACGTCTTGTTTTATAGCTGTTGTCAATGAAAAGCATTCAGTAGCTCCCATTGCACAAAAATTAAAATCAGATATCTGTCTTTGATCTGGTAAATCAGGGCATTTTTCCCAAACTGTGGTCACATACAATAGAATTTGTACCCCAAAACAGCGGAACTTCACAACTCCAATCTGAAAACCTGGGAAGTATTCCCCATAGAGGTTAATTTCTTTGCCATGTTCCTGCAAATATTTCATTTCAATTTGTTTCAGAAGAAAGTTGTGCAAAAGACCCTAATCTGTTGCATAAACAGTTACATTTTTTTCTCCCATCACAATGGAAAATTTTGCTTCTCACCACGGCCAGGTATCGTGTTCTCACAGTAATGTGAAAAGATTTGTTAGTTCACTTCATGTCTCAAACTTACCTTCCTAACATCAGTATTGAACTGTTGTTTCTGAAAAAATTAAAACTACTCAAAGGTGGAAAAATACACCCCCAAGCTGCTAGAGAAACAAGATGAAAATATAGGAATGTTGTAATCTTTGTCTATATGATGTCACATTATCCTGTGGAATGGAGGCAACATAACTAAATTTATACCCATCACAGAGTGTGCAATGTAATCACAAAACAATCAGATTGATAGTACCATATAAATTAGGAGGGGGAAGGGTGGCTGGGTGGGGTGCTGCAAATAAGTCTCAAATACCACACAAAAGTCACTATAACTGTTTAGTTTCAACAGATACAGGAGGTTAGCCAGGATTATTAGACATTTTTCCATTGCCCCCAGAAGAGTGTATAAGCTCTACTGCTCTCCTGTACACTATCTTCAATTTTTTAAAGGGTTTGTCTTCAGACAGAGTGATACACAAATGCAAATTCAATATTTTATTTTTGAAAACATTGTAACCCTAGCCTATTTGGGTTATTCTTTTGCCATATTTTGAATGTATTGTTTCTCCTATGCTGACTAAAATAGAAAAGGTTGCAAGAGTTTTCTATATTTTTTCAAGAAGATATGGTAATTTTTTCTGCCTTTCTGATGCTTAAAAATAACTGAATCTTTTTGGGATCAGAGCTCAAGCATGGCAAATTTCAGAAGGATGAGAAACAAAAGGGAAGGTCCACTAAGAGCTGCTAGACCCAGAAATAACCTACAAACCCTAAAGTTAGGGGACCCTCACTAATTAACAGAACCACTCAGAGAGACCAAGAGAAAACCAGTGTCTGTCTGTGCCATTGCTTCCTGCTCCCAGACTGCTGAGGATTTGATGGGGGAAAGAGGGGGGAGAAAAGAGGGCAAATTACTTATTGCCAGATCTCTTTTCCCTGCTGTGCCAGTGGTCTCTATACATAGCACATGCGGCTGTGGCCTGTGCTGGTCCCCTGCACTGCCAGGCTGCCAGCGCATCCTGCACAGGTGGCACACCTGGTCACGGTGCTCTCCTGCCTTCTGTACTTCAAGTTGATCTCTTGAGAGGGTGACCGGGCAGTTGAGCACAACAGTGTCCCTGGGCATGATTGGGCTTTAGCTGGACCTGTTGAATTTACTTATTTAGAGAGGCCAAACAGCAGCTGCACGTGGCACATACACACGTCACATTATACCAGAGTTACCAGCAAAGGACACAGGGGAATAATACTGTTGGTTTGATGCATGTTTCCTATTTTTTTCTTTTTTTGCAATGAGTGTGCTATTAATACTGCAGTCACCAGAACTTTTGTTGTTGTCTCTTAGACGAAATAGAAAAGGGACGGCGGTGAGGAGCTGCTGTCGTTCTGCCTGCTGCTGTGCGAGATGAACTGATGAATAACGTGTGTGATTTCTCTTTCCCTTGTAGTTGCACTCTGCAGTGACCAGGATCCAAGTTCAAAGACCTGGTTTCAATTACACGTTTGCCCATATATGTATCCTGAACAATGACAAGACATGCATAGTGGACGACATAGTGCATGTACTGGAGGAATTAAAGGCTGCTCGTTCTTCTAATCGAACTAATTTTGCAATCACTTATCCGATTACTCACTTAAAGGATGGCAGGGAAGTGTACAATGGGCATCAGCTCGGTGGGGTTACTGTGCACAGCAAGGACCGGGTGAAGTCTGCAGAAGCCATTCAGCTCACCTACTACTTGCAGGCAATCAACTCCTTGAATGACATGGTGGCAGAGAAGTGGGAATCCATTTTTTGTGACACTGTTGAACTTTTCCAGAAATCCAACAGGAAAGTCAAAATGTATCCTTTCACTTCCTCTTCGCTGAAGGAGGATTTCCAGAAGACGAGCAGGGTGTCAGAACGCTACCTGATCACAAGCTTGGTCCTTGTGGTCACCTTGGCCATTCTCTGCTGCTCCATGCAGGATTGTGTCCGCAGCAAACCCTGGCTTGGCCTGCTGGGATTGCTGACAGTGACCCTTGCCACCCTGACTGCTGCTGGGATCATCAATCTCACTGGTGGGAAATACAATTCCACCTTCCTGGGAATCCCCTTCGTCATGTTAGGTAACTATCTCCTCTCTCTCTTTTGTGTGTTTGTGCCTTCCTGACGCATTTCCCAGCAAGCAGACAAGCATCACTGCATGGTTCCTGTTTTCTCATTCCTGCAGCACTGCCCCATGCCAAATCCACTCTGCCTCTTTTCCTAAGCTGTTTTTATGGTGCCTGGATGTCAAAATCATGCCTGGGGCTCCAGTATGGCGTAGCACAATGCTGTGGGATGTGGGGCCTGTACAGTAGCAAGGAACAAAGATGTGCAAATGCCGTGCATTTTGCAGCGAGGGAGTCCAGCTGCTGCCTCTCTGTGGATGTTTGATTCTGGCTTTGGAGGGAGACCTTTGCAGTGGTCCCTATGCAACACTGACAGCATCAGCTGTGCTGGCAAATCAAAGGGCTGCCCATGTTGGGCATTTAGGGAGCTCTGGCTCCTATGGAGGCTAGAGTGATGCTGTCCTGGCTTATCCTGTGGGATAAGAGCGGTGGTTGGTTCTGGGTTGCACTTCTCCAGAAGTCCCTATGTTGGCTGAGGAAGCACAGGGAGAGTTTCTCAGCCCTGGGGGAGAGAACTTTGGCACCCCTGGTCAGGGATGGACCTGCAAGATCAGCACCAGCACATCCCACAGCAGAGGGTCATGGAGGGAAGTGACACTGGCTGCTCCCTGGCTCCTGTGCCAGCAGGGACATCTTTATCTCCCTGGGTTTTGTATCACCTTCACTCACTGTGGAGTATGGAGTGGTTCCAGTTTTGTTTTGTTTTCCTCGAGGGTAGGAAAGGGGAGGACAGAAGTCTGGTCATCTTCCTCCTGAACCAAAGTCAGAGCCCTCTCCTGCTGGCACCAGGGCATTTGTGGGAATTCTGCGTATTGTACCCAAAGAGGCAGGAGGATTTCACGGAGACAAAACAAGAGCTCTGGAGAGTTCACAGCCTCTTTGTTTGTTTTTGGTTCATAACCAGTGTGAAAAGCTTTGTGCACTGTAGGTGTTTAATATGTCCTTGTTCACGCCATCATTCATTTGTGGAGAATAATACATGCATTGATTTGATCACAGCTTCCCCAGCTGAAAATCAGTGTTCAGTAATACTTCAGGTTTCAAGTGTAAGAGTGTCTCCACTGACTTAGTCACATCATGTAGTGATATGACACGTTTTGAGCACAGCTATTTTTATATCCAGCACCAGGTTCCTGTGCTGTGCTGGTACTGTAGTGCTGCTGCACTGTGGTATTGTTGCACTTTAATTAAAGACTATGGTTCAGTGCATCACACTACCAGTTAACATACAGAATATATTCAGTGACAAACAGAATTCAGCTGCATTACATCGGCTGTCATTTTCAGGTGACATCCATGAAAATTAAACTGCATTGTAATCTAGAGGAAATGCAACACAAAAAAGTCAGAGTCAAAAGAAGGGTATCTTTCTGAGCTCAGTCTCTGGTTTCTTTGGTGGGTTTTTATGCCTGTTCCTGTATTATAACATTCAATTCTTCAAACTAAGTAGTGTATATTAAGTGTAACTTTAGATAGGAGGGGATTTTCAGACGTGTTACAAGAGTAGCAGAAAAGCAGTCTAAAGTCCAGACATATGAAGTGAAAGTACATGGGAAAAGTGATTCAAAAATATGAAATATTAGCTTTGTTTAGGGATCAAATATCTGTTTGGTGGGACAACCTTTCAGATCTTTAATTTACTAGTAGTGACAATGCTGAGACTTGAAATCTTCAAAGACTTACAGATAACTATGAAAAGTTTCACATGTCTATTTTAGTGCTCCTTTAAGTGCCAAGCTATATATACAACTCTGCTTTTCTTTTATTTTTTTTTCTTTTTCCTGGTGTTTTTTTTGCTCTTTCTTGGTTGAAGTATTCCACTCTTAAAAGGGCAGCTGAGCTCCCACTGTGAGCAAGTGAAGATAGAGCAGCCAAGTTCGTGTAAATCTTGCCCGCTTCCCCAGCTGCATAAAATCTCCCAAGGGATGGGAATATCAACAGGTGAACAGAAGGCACTGACAGCATTTTGGAGTTTTAAATGAGAACTGTTTTAAACTGGCAGATAGCTAGAAAGGCAGGTTGGCCTTTTTTTTTTTCTTCCTGAAGTACAAAGGAAAGATTCATGTGTTTTGAAATGTTCAAAATGTTTTCATACGCAGATGTTGTTTTACTCATAAAGGATGTTTTAAGTCAAGGCAACTGAGGCTACAGACAGCAAGAACCCTCCATTACAGTCCACTGAACTGCTTCCACTTAATTTCAGCGACCATCAGATTAGATCATAGATTAACTGACCTTTAGAAAGCTAAAGGATTTCTGGCTAACGATGTAGCCCTGTATCTATTACTCATAATCTCATGGCTAAAAGCAGAAATGAGATAGAAAAAATGATTACACCGGACACATTTCAGGCACAGCCCCTTTACTGGTATACATCATTAATGAAGTTTCCCTGGTTTGTAGCAGCTGAGGATTTTTAACTTTTCATCAGCGTTGCGGAGGCGGGGGGACACTCTCCAGACATCATTTGACACAGGATGAGATTACATCTTTCATAACAAATAGTTTTCATCATGCACTTTGTCTCCTCCTTGGACCACTTCCTCCTGTGTTTCACTGCACAACCACTACAGCATTTGCATCATGTCTAACCTGAGTTCCCCTTTTGCAACTTAGCTGTCCTCCTTATTTATCCATTGCATCTGGAAAATAAATTATTTTCTTTTTCTTTGCATATTTGGTACCACTCTCACTTGCCCAGTCTTCTTTCTTTTCATCCCAGCTTTCCTCAGACTGTGTTTACCAGACTTCCAGCAATCTTCTTACTTTTGGCCATTCCACATCTTCCATGTGTGGTGTCTAAATCCAGGCACAAGATTCAGACTGAGGCTTTCAGCAGCACGTAGAGTAGGAGGATGATTTTTCACATCTTGCATATGGCACTGCTGTTCATACATCGCCATATGTCATTCATTTTTTTCTCAGCAGTATGAAATGGTTGGCATTTGGTTGGTGGTACATGGTAATTCACAGATCCTCCATGTCATCTTCTACCATGTTCACAGTCATTTATTCCAAACAACATGTAGAAGTTTGTCCCTGTCCTTGCTGAATTATAGCTTGTTTATCTCACACCATTACTCCTCAATAAGTTTATCTGGAGACCATCACTGTCTCCAAGATGTATTAGCTGGTCAGCAATGTCTTGCAATTGTCAACCTTTTCATATTTTCAAGAATTACTTTCTGAATAGGTTGTCCAGTCACAACCCATTGCAAAAATATAGGCAGTATGTTTGGAAAATAGTCTGATCAAAGTGCTTTGTAATACTTCTTCCATTCATCCCGTTTTCTTTGACATCCCTTATTCATCAGCCATTTCCAAGAACAAACAAGCTACAATGAAGGCTACCAGCCTCTGTAGATGTTGAATCCTCAGCTTTTGCATCAACAGGGAATTTAAAAAGTTACTAAATTACCACAACTTACCAAATTACAGTCTTAAGCTCAGGCTGTGTAACTGTAGGCAGGAATATCTTTTGCCTACTCCACCTGTTAAATATGACATGCCAGTTTAAACACTTCATACTTTGGTTTTAATCATGGTAGTTTATTTTAATATATTTTACTTTTAATTAAGGCAGATTACTGTAAGCCATCTTATAACAGATGACTCTGCATAGTCTGAGTATATCACTACTGTGACGACTTTTATGGTGAGGCAGGTTTCTTTTTTACCATCCCTGATTTCTAACTCAATGGCAAAAACTGAAGCCAGGAGGAATGTTGCCAGAGACCCCCTTCCCCAGCAGATACTAAAAGACTGAAGATTCCCTTTGGTGCCTGGAGGTCCAGCTGGGGCTGGGGCTGGGGCTGGCCTGAACCCCACTGATGGCTGTGGAGTGAGGCAGCAGAGTCCAGGCTGGCTGCAGCCACTCTTTTCTCTGGCATATCTTGTCAAGTCAAACTGGGAACTGCTCTTCTCCAGTTATAGGTTAAGACAGGTACTTCTGACCTAAAAGTGAAGCCTAAAACCTGGGAAAATCAGCAGGGTCCCACCATTCATCTGGACATAGTATGAATTAGCTTATGTCCCTGTGTTTTTTTCAAACTGCCATCCACATTTCTCAGTGTGCAAAGAAGTAATTTAGGGACAAGTTTGCTGACATGTCTAGATCTTGTGAATACTTTGCTGAATTAGGGATGTTCATTTTTGACCATAGGAACAACAAAAAAAAAATTAATTCTACAACTAGGTTGGGTTTAAAATAACTGATTTATAGTGTCAGCTGAAAAACAGAATTAAAATTCTGATTTCCTATTGCCTTCTTCATTAAAAACTACAGATGTTTGGTCTGGCACAGATGCTAATATATCCATCATAAGTTTCCCTTACACATTAAATGCTGTTTAAAAACTGCCAAACCTTTAAAAATAATGTTTTCCTCAAAATATCACAGTGTTACCAAACAAATCATTGGACAACAACCAGCGCTGTCTGAACAAGTTTTTGGCGTGACTTTTTCTCCTTCCCAGAGGCAGAGTGGAACCTAGGCACTCAAAAGAAAATTGCAACATAGCCCTTTGCACTGCAAACTAGCAATGTGTTTGCTGTTCCTTCAGAAATGAATACAGCTTACTCGGGGAGAAGTGGCTCTCTTCAGCTGCCAAGTTCGTGAAAAGCATCGGCTGTGTGAAACCGCGCTGGAACGCCGGGCGCTGCCAGATATGGGCAGGGACGCGGGGCCAACTCCGGGAGCTTATATTTAGCCTCCAGTGCTGGCAGGGGAAAAGCAGGTAGAAGTTATGAGAGTGGCTTGAGCTTGTAGCACACTGTAAAAGGAAATGACAGGCAGCCGTGTGTGAAACTCGCAAAAACAGGGGCAAATGAAAATCCCTTCTTACAACGCCCATCGCATCCCACCCTGCAGCATGCCCCTTCTGGGATGAGAGAAAGGAAAAGCAGTCAACAGAGAGATCCAGGGAGGGATGAGTGGGAAGGAGCAGCTGGAAATG